TATATATATATATATATAATAGAAAGTTTCTTTCGAGTAAACTGAAGCATTCAGCGCGATCGCGAGTATGGTGTCAGTATCGTAGATCCATAAATGTGTCATGTCGTTACGGCGGTTTTATACTAACGAATTTTATTTGGTAAATAGTTTTACTTTTATAAAGATAAATAAAAGTGTTAAAATAACCAATGTACATATGAACGTGCTAAGACTTAAGCTTTGAACGTCATTGCATATAAAGTTTCTTATTAACACACGTGATTGTGCTGGTCTGCAAATGAAAGAAAAAAAAAAGAAAAAAGACACTGTGAGTCTCCTTATCTACGATTGATTCAACATCCTATTTTTATTTGTATTTAATAAAATTGCTGACGATTTTTTATAAATCAATGTTTCTTTCATTGAAAATTTGCGTTATCACAACTTTGTTTGTATGAAAACTTGTGCTAATATTGAATGTTTTATTAGCAAGAGACACAGTATAACACAATGAATCATTACATTCTTTTTGTTCGCCAACATTAGACAAAGATGAAATGGTAACTGTGTTACACTGCTTCTTCCTGGAAAACATCAGTTATTTCATATAAATATTGCGCAAGACTAGCAGTATAATCATTACAAATTTCCGAATGAAAAATAAACATTTGCATGATTTTATCGAATGTATTTTTAGCATTTGGATTAACATTCCTATTATATACGAAACCCATTATTTTCAAAATAAAATATTTAAAAATGCAGATTACAAACATAAAAACTTGAGAACCTTTCGTTGATTAGAATATGCATTCAACTATCTTGTAAGTTCGTTTTATAACTGTATCTATTTTTTTTTAGATTGAAATTAAAATATTACCTTTATTACTAAAGTAAAAATTATGTATCGAATATCAATCGTTACCTAGAAAGAATAATTATGTCTGACAATAATAATATATTAATCTTTTAATTTTTGTTACTTTTTTAAATTTTAATTCTATTCTTGAAGTTTATACCAAATACTATATCAGAGTGATATAACCAATTACGGTAAAATAGTATCAACAACTTACTACTGCTTTGTAAAAAAAATCGGACAATCTCTTTTTACTCGTATTGTATTTATATTATTCGGCTCCTTCATTATTAGAAATTTTAACGTTTATAAAACTGCGTTATAATGCAGATAATCATTACGATTCGAATGATGAGAAAAAGGCTCTTTATCGTCGTATATGGATTAATTTACTATCAAGGGATATTTGTAAAATCGTCAACGTACATCATCAGTTGACAATCTCATCTCGACATGGCATAAATTTTTATATTACTGCAATGTGTGAGTGTGGACAACAGAATGTAATCCATCGAGTACAGTGATAATGCAGCAAAAGGGTCCATTCTGAGTTCAAGCTCGACAAAATACATAATACGTTAACGCATGTAAAATTACGTAGCAAAATTGCAATGGGTAATATGTATATCCCTATAATACGTGTATACATGGTATAAAGTGTCATTTCGCCACTTTGTAATAATCTTCCTATTATGTAATTGTTAATCAACGATGATTATATTTCTATTAGATCCATGTTGCCACGTTCGTGGAAAAGAAAGGAAAGATAATTTCATATAACGCTAAAAAATCAAGTTCCATTAATAAAAATGGAAATAATCATATGGACAAAGTTTTTAATCGATATTTTATATCCGAATGTTTCTTAGCTACATGGATTAGGGTCTGTGCCCTTTTTTTCTACAAACACAAAGCTGTATGTACCTCATATAAAATTTCCATTTATCTCATCCATTTATTTACGCTCTTTATATTTCAATTGTATCACTTAAAAACGATTCCTGTGCAATATATTATGTGGTAACAGACAGGCCCTTTTGTCGTATGCTCACTGTAATGACATACAAGGAAACGAAAACTTAGCTATAGAGATCGTCATCTCCATCATCTTGAAAGGTTTGATCGCCTTGTGTATTATCTTGAGCACCGCCTGCTCCACTTTGTGGAAATCTGCAAATAATTTTTTAAGATGAAAAAATATTTTTTATTATGTACAAATCTGTCTAGTAAAAATATGCATCATTTTTTTAGCATTTAAAAGAACAATAACCAAGAATTTAATTTGATTCCTTTGTTGTTTTGCATATATATTGGAATTTAAAAAAGAAAATTCGTACCTGAAATTAGTCCCAAACCCTCGAGATTGCTGAAGCGTTTGCGCAAACATTTCGTACTTGCGAATGTCGTTGTCGGACACTGAACGACGCGCAAACCTCATTGCTTCCTCGAAATGAGCTCGCGTTATTTCTGGTACAGGATCATCCTCATCCATCTAGAAAAAGCGAATAGTAGAACTTAGAATTTAGAAGTAATATACATATATACTAATAGCAATTTTTGTGTTCGAATTATTTAATTTCTATATAAATGTATATATTTACTATTGCTAAAAAAAATGCATGAAATGATTGTTATATGCGATTATTATAAAAGTTTTTTCCTTGCGATCGGAAAATGAAATATTGTACTACTTATCATAGTACGTCATAAAAAATAAAAAAATGTATAAGAAAACTTTCTCTGCTGATGATTCGAAGATGACTCGAATAAAGTCTAATGCTGACTCAGATGTAAGTCATACAAAATGACACAGCAGAAATAAATCTACGAAATAATGCAAAAACGCTGTAAAGTGAAGTGCATTTTATAAAGATATCTTACATCCATAGACGCGGATGGATTATTTGCTCGTTCTTTTTCCCTTCGAATTTCAGTCTCGATGCACTGTCTAATGGCAAGTTTGCATGCCCGCTGGCAGATTTCTGTCAAGTCAGCACCGGAAAAACCGTGCGTGACTTTGGCGATGTAGCTTAGATCCACATCCTAACAAAAGAAAAAAATATTTTTTTTAATAATTAAAAACGCACATAAGAAAATAAACAATACATCGCTATTATTAATTATCTATATATTTTAGGCAAATTTACGGAATTATTACCTTAGCTACAGGCGATTTCCGAAGATTGGCGCGGAATATCGCTTCTCGAGACTTCTCATCAGGTAATGGTATATAAATTAATTGATCTAATCTACCGGGCCGTAGAATTGCCGGATCGATGATATCGGGTCGATTTGTTGCTCCTATGATGAATACATTCTTTTTTGCACCCATACCGTCCATTTCCGTTAATATCTGATTTATTACACGATCCGCAGCACCGCCAGCATCGCCGACGGTGCCTCCTCGAGACTTCGCAATAGAATCAAGTTCATCGAAGAACAATACACAAGGTGCTGCTGATCTTGCCTGAAAAAAATTTATTGTTAAACGATAATCTTGAATTCTCCATTAAAGAGTGCGAGATGGTTTACCTTATCGAAGACATCTCTGACATTAGCTTCCGATTCTCCAAACCACATAGTTAATAATTCAGGACCCTTGACAGAAATGAAATTTGCTTGACA